ACAGTACTGCAAAAACAACCAAAAGCAGACAGTTGGTTCTGAGCCTCAGTTGCCGTTTTCGAACATCTAGGGTGACCCCAACGTCTGCTGTCTACCGAGTCTGCAGGTAATTCTGAGGCTGCTGGTCTGGGCTGCACCTTCTTCAGGTGTGGTCCTATCCCTGTGCCTCTCCAGGAGGGCGTGGCCTGGCCACACCTCCTGGGAGAGGATGTCAGTCCTGGGCCTCTTATCCACTGCATGTGGGGAGGCTGAGCGGCGCGGACAGCCAGGCCTGTGACCATCTCCAGTGGCCATGCTGGGCACCACGGCTGGCCTTGTGCTGTCACAGCATTGCTGGGAGGATCAGGCCCAGCCCGCTTGTCTCCTCCGAGGGACGACTCCAAGTGGTCCTGCTCTGCCCTGGCTTCGGCCTTCTGCTTCGTTTCCCTCTGTCCTCTCCACATGGTGACGGGGGTTGTCAAGGGCTTGCTGAGTCTGGTGTCTCCTGCTAGCAAATCCATCCCCGACTGCACCCCCACCTTGAGAACCACCCGTCTGGGATATATTTCTCTGGATCCTTGGCATGTGGTACCTTCGTGAAGGGCCGGAGGGTCACCCAGCTTGACACAGTTGAAGGTGGGAGTCTAGGCACAGCCTGCGTTTAAACTGCAGTTTGGAGAGGCTCTTGTGCTCTCTGCCTGTCTGGCCCTCTTGCCGGGGCCAGGCTGGGAGCTGTTCCTCCTGGCGCTGCCCTTGGCGCAGCCCATGCCCCACCTTCCGGAGCCTCCTGACTGTAGGCCCTGGCTGGGGCCTGGGCCCAGCGACAGCACCCCAGGAAGAGCCTCGACACCTGCCGGTTGTGCGGTTTTATTCAGGCTCAGCACTGGCCGAGGTGGAGGGAAGAACATGTGGGCCGGCTGGGCCAGGGCGAGGGATGCTGGGAGGCCATGCATGGTTGGGAAGGAGCTTGGGTGGGAACCTGCGGCCGGCCATGCAGGGCAGGGCAGGGCATGCAGGGCCTGGCCGGGCTGCAGGAGCTGAGTGGCCCAGCCCATCGGTGGCTGTGGGCCAGGTGGGGAAGGGCTGAAGCCACTGGGACACGGGGCGGGGAGGACGGCAGGACACGGAACACCTGGCGCCTGCCCCACAGCTGCCACCAGCCTTGTGGGTCCTCCCTGGAGTCATTGTCCTGCTGCTGCTTGGACATTTGCCTGGGAGATGACACACAGGGTGCTCTGGGGGCGTCTCAGGAGGCTGAACTGTCCCGGGGAGCGGGGTGGGGGGAAGAGGAGAGTTTCCAGCTGGGGTCCCTGTGCCTGGAGCCAAGCTTCTTGCCTCAGTATCTGGGGCCAGTGCCCGCTGTGGGCCCTGGAATTCGCCGTCTCCCACCACAGTCCTGCTGCTGGGTTTGCTCGGGCGAGGCCCAGGAGGATGCGGCCTGGACTGCCAGCCAGCGGGCACCTGGGCTTCCTGCCCAAGGCAAACACGGAGCAAAGCCCAGATCCTCCTCCGGCCTCTTCCTGGTGCAGGCCCATTCCCACCCAGCAAGGAAGGGAGAAACCAGTTCCCCAGGTTCCGCTGCCGTTAGGAGAGCAGGCAGGCACCTCTGCCGGAGGAGCACCAGCCCAGGCCTCGGCTGGGACAGTGGGGGCGGGGCCCTCAGCACTGGCGGGAGGGGGTGCGGTGCACAGAGCCCGGGCGCTTGGGAATCTTGCGCCAGCGTCGCTTGTCCCAGCGGCACAGCAGCAGCAGGCGGAAGGTGTCCCGGAAGGCTTTGTTGCACAGCGCGTAGCACATGGGGTTGACGGTGCTGTTGACGTAGCACAGCCAGTAGCCCAGCTCCCACAGGGTCTCGGGGACGCAGTCCTTGCAGAAGGTAGACACCAGCACTATGATGTTGTACGGCGTCCACGTGAGAATGAAAGCCAGGAGGATGGCGCTCAGGGTCCGGGCTGCCTTCTTCTCCTTGACCAGTGAGAAGGTCTTGCGCTTGGCCAGCTGCTCCTTCCCGCGGGGCTTCTGGGCCCGGCTGGCTCGGTCTCGCCCTTTCCGTGTGGGCCTCTTCACTGTGCTCGGAGAGCTCTTGGGGGGCGGCTTGACAGGCGCGTGGGCCCCGGCGTCCACCATGGGCATCTTGATGGCCACCTCGGGGCCAGGCTCCTCACCCTCTGAGGATGTGAGTGACTCCATGGAGCCCTCCTCCTCCTCCTCCTCCTCCTTCCAGCTGTAGGCCTGCAGCAGCCTGGGTGCCTGGCAGCAGCTGCAGCAGCGCCCAGGTGGGGTGTCCGGGGAGCCCTCGGCCCCAGGCTGTGACCTCTCCGAGCTGCTGCTGCTGCCACCACCCTTGCCAGGCGTCTCAGAGCCCTGCAGAGCCGCCAGCTCCCGAGCCCGGTTCTCTGTTTCACGATAGATGCGCCAGTAGAGCGCACACATAACGGTGACCGGGAGGTAGAAGGCAGCCATGGCAGTGCCAAAGGTGATGATGGGCTGGGAGAGGAACTGGATGTAGCACTGCCCAGCCAGCACCGTCCGCTCGCCCACCAGGTACTGCCAGAAGAGGATGGCTGGCGCCCAGAGCACGAAGGAGACCAGCCAGGCTAGCCCGATCATCAGGGCTGCCCGGCGCGGGGTGCGCTTGGTGCGGTAGCTTAGGGGCCGGGTCACGGAGAAGTAGCGGTCAAAGCTGATGAGCAGCAGGTTCATGACCGAGGCGTTGCTGGCCACGTAGTCCAGGGCCAGCCAGAGGTCACAGGCCAGCGTGCCCAGCGCCCAGCGGCCCATGAGCAGGTAGGTGGTGTAGAGGTTCATGGAGAAGGTGCCAATGATGAGGTCAGCGCAGGCCAGGCTCAGCAGGAAGTAGTTGTTGACTGTCTTGAGCTCCGTGTTTACCTTGAAGGAGATGAGGACCAGCAGGTTGCCCGTCACGGTGGCCAGCGACAGAAGCCCCGTGGTGATGCCGATGAAGGCCACCTGCCAGGGACCCTTTCCTGGGGCCAGGATGGTGATGTTGGGGCTGACGGCGGGTGGAACTGAGGTGTTCATGGTGGCCTGGTGGGCAGGGCAGCCCCGTTGTCCAATCCCACGGAGGGCGTCCTCAGAGGGGCATCATGGCCTGGAGACAGACATGGGCTTTGGTTGGAACCTGAGCGGGTGTTGCAGGCCAGGCCCATGCTGCCCTCGAGCATGAGGCATCACAGTGCACTGGGCCTGGCTGGCGCTGAGAGCCAGGCCAGATGCTGCTCCTTCCAGCTGCCCATGCAGCTGCCAAGCCTCCGTGCCCACTGGGAGACCGCCAATTGTCCCAGGGGTGCCCAGAACACGTGGCCCAAGATTTCCAAGCATTTCGCTCAGGCTTAGCAGAGCTTCCTTACTGAGCTGCGGCTGCGTCGACCCTTTGCTAATCACTCAGTCAAGTGCGTCCCCCGGGCGGCCTCATGGCCCCCGCCTCACCACAGGTGGCCACAGTCACGCCTTGGTGAGTGGGACTGGAGTTTGTGGGGCTCCAAGGGGACCCTGCTATCACACGGGGAGAGGGGAGAGTGGGAAGGAGCGGGCTGGGACAAGGAGGGAGACAGGCGGGGAAGGCGTGAGTTAAGTCCTCCAGGAGGGGTGGGTGCTGGGGCAGGGCGGGGCCGCAGCAGCAGCCAAGCCCGGCATGAGGGCCCAGAAGACCAGGCCAGGGAACCATGCCTCGGCTCCCGGGAAGTGGGGTCTGGCCCCAGATGGGACGTGGGAGGCCACCCTCTGCCGGCTGTTCCCAGGCCTCACGAAGGGGGCAGTGGGGAACGGGCAGATGCCCCCTTTGTCCCTGAGACCTGCAGTGTGGCTCAGGCAAAAAGCAGGGTGAAGAGAGAGCCCCACAGGTGAGGCTGTCCTCCTGGGGCGCACGGGGCAGCGCAGGGAACCCTCCTGGGTGCTCAGCTGGGGCCACAGCACGGGGAAGAGGCCCGGCTGGCTGTGACCCTGCTGTGCAGGGCATGGAGGGCCTCACTGCCCTGGGTGTCAGTCACCTGTCTGTCCACTCCTGCCTGTGCCTGGGGCCTCTGTGGTGTGCAGTGGTGGTGACCTGGAGAGGGCGTGAGCAGCACTTAGCCAGGCGCATGCCTGTGACACGACAGGGCAGTGGTGGGCAGTGTGGCTTGGGTGTCTGGGCCAGTTTGCACACAAGGCGTGGACTGTCTGGGGTGGAATCCAGGTTTCACCAGTACCTGGGAAGTGATGATTGACATGGTTTTTTATACCTCAGTTTCCTCAACTGAGAAACAGGGATAAAACCCACGGGGGGCTCACACTTCAGGGACGTCGGGGGGTTAGAGTGCCTGGACAGCCCTGGCTGGGGGAGGCCTGAGCTCCACAGTGACCCCAGCTGGTGGGGCCTCGCGGGTGCCTCCTGCTGGCAGCATCCACTGCTTTGATTACAAATCCTGGAGACAATGGCGGTGGCTGCTGCTGCTCTGACTGTGCTCACCGCTGCTGGGGACTCTGCCTGGAGCCATTGCCCTGTTACCCCATTCAGTCTTCACAGCAACCTGTGACCTGGGCCTCACTTTCCTCTCCGTTTTACAGATGAGGAAGCCGAGGCTGAGAAAGCATGAAGATTCACAGACTGCACAAGGAAGGCAGGAGCAAGGACCACAGCCCTAGCAGTCAGTCCGTCCCAGTGAAACTTCATTTAGAGGCACTGACAATTAGCCTTTGCAAAGCGCTGTCCTGGCCAGGGAGCCCTTCTGTGCCTGGGAGCAGCAGTTGGGAATGTGCACTGCTCAGTGGGACCCAGGAGCCGGAGTGAGGGTGGTGGCTGGCAGGGAGGTGTTGTCTGCCCAGGCCTGAGCCTCCCAGGGAGGGCTGTGGAGCCTGTAATGATGTTACGGACAGCATTACAGCAACTGGTATGCACTGCCTGCTAGAACCTCCCAGACACCGCTGAGTGCATCACGCCTGTGATATGATTTGCTGCTCCTGCCCCTCAGGAGAGAGGTTCCGTTATCATTATCCCGTCTGCAGAAGGGGCAGCAACCTCGCAGCCCCTCAGGGCTGCCGCCAAGGTTGGACCTGGTCTGCATCCAGGTCTTGGCCCATACCTGGTCTGTGCTGTGACCAGCCTTCCTGCCTGGGCCTGTGGGCGGGGCCAAACCCCCATTTGCATCATTGAGCAGCCAGGACTCTGTTCTCTGGAACCGCCTGGGTGTGACAGTCTGCCTCTGTGACAGGGATGACAGTGTGGGGCGGAAGGCTCTGACCGCCCCGCCCCACTGGCTCTTCCCAGGGCCAGGTGCACAGTAACTGCTCAGTAAATGCTCATGAAATAAATAAGAGGCACAGGGTCCTCTTCTTCCTTTGCTGAAGGCTCTGGAGCAGGACAGGCGCCAGCCCGGGCCCAGGCCGCCTCTGCCCACACGGCCCCCTGGGCTGGGCCTCTGATCCCTGGGTGAGCCCCCACCCCCGCCTGGCTCATCTGTAAAATGGACCAAGGAAATCCTGCCTCCCAGCTGTAAGAAGCCATGGGCGTGCACGTGTGGGTGTGTGCGTGTGCAAACACACAAGCGTCACCCTGGATACAAAGGGTTAAAGGATGAGGTCAGAGCCTCTGACTGTGACGACCAACCAACTGACCAGGCCAGCCCTGGACCGTCCCTGTCCCTCGGGGCTGGGTATCTGGCTGCAGAGGAGGGGAGGCGGAAGACAGCCCAGGGCAGATTCCTGAGCATCACCGGGAGGGTGGAGGGAGGCCGAGAAGGAGGGCCACTGGCGAAGCGGAGTGGAGCCATCTTGGTGCCTGGCCTGGAGGCCAGCAGAGCACCCTCACTGGAGCTGAGGCCTCCCAGGACAGTGGTCAGTAGACAGCCGGCAGGTGGCAAGGATGGCTGTCCTGCTGCCTGGCTCCCTGCCTGGCACCTCCTGCCAGGGCGGAGCCCACAGGCCAGCCTTTCCCAGGTGCCTGTTGAGCCACAAGATGCCCCAACTACTGCTCTTGATGCCTGCTCTCAGAACGATGGCGTAGACAGTGGCGCTGGCCACGTCCTCAGCTCAGGTTGCCGCTGTGACGCCGGCAGCAGCCCTCAGTTAAACATGGCACAGACGGCTGTGGGGGCAGGACGGTGCCCCAGAGCCACCACCAGAAGAGCTCACCGCAGCGGCCTGGACCTGCGCTGTCTCCAGCCTGGTTGTGGCCGGCAGCCTGGGCCTGCTCTGGAGCACGGCGGCTGCAGGGCTGTGGGTCCTCCTCATGCCCCTGCTGGCTCCTGCTCGGCTCTCCTCCCCCTCTATCTCCATGGCACCGCCAGCGCACCGCACGGCGCCTCACCCACTCTCCTGCGCCTGCTGCCTGAAGCCCTTGCTGCTGCCTCCCAGCAAGGCTCCTGCTCAGCTCCCCGCCGTCCTGCCCTGGGACCACTTGGTCTTGTCCTATGGCTGGGGCCACGCCTACCCCACCTACCCCAGCCTCAGTGTCTCCATCTGCGCAATAGGTAGCTTCTCCCTAGGTCTGCTGGCACTTTGGTCCTGTCCCTTCTGGACTCCTGGATGTCCCTCTGCACTTCTGATCCCGCCCCCAGCTCTCACTGTGTCCCTCCTGGGCAGGGTGGAGATGCAGCCCAGGGGGCCAAACCTCGGGGCAGGAGCTGCCCACTCCTTCCCCGGGGCTGGGTGGCAGAGTGGAGCTGCAGGTATGTTTGCGGGGAGAGGCGACCCCTCGTCACAGCACTGGTATCTGACCGTCCCAGGGGTCTCCTTGCTCTCTCCCACTGCCCGCTCCGGCGCTGGTGACACTGCAGGGACTCCACACAGTGGAGTCTGGGGCTAGGTGCCCAGGCCAGGTGCCCACTGGCTTCCAGGCATTGCCTGGACCCAGACCTGAACCTCCCCTGAGGGCACCTGAGGTACTGGACACATGGGATGACCCCAGTGTGACCATCCTTGTGCCCAGCTGCCCAGCAAGCCTGGGGACTCTTTGCCCAGCACCCACCTCAGCATCCAGCTTGTGCACACAGCCAGCAGCCTGGGTCAGTCCATCTTGGGGGGATGACAGTGGGTGGGGTGCCCTGAGGGAGGAGAGAGGAGGTCTGGGCCAGTGCTGACGAGCAGGAGCCGGCCCTCCATGCACACTGGGGACCGGGGCTGCGTCCTGGCCGCTGCCTGCCCACCTGTCACCAGGCGGTCAGCCTCCTCCCTGCTGTCTGCAGCCAATCACGGGGGTCTTCATCTCAACTACTGGCCAGAGGCCAGAAAAACATCAGAGGCGCCCACTTAAAGCCAAAGTGTTGGGGGCAGCCAGGGTCCAGTGTTCCCAGTCCCTCCCTGCAGACCCCCGGCTGCCTCCTCCCCCCGGGCCACGCGCACTCCTCCCACCCTGGCCCTGCCCTGGCTGGGGACCCTGCTCCCGCCCGCCTCTCCAGCCCCCCTGCACTCACCGTGGGCACACAGGGGTCTGCAGGGTCCTCAGCCGCACGCTCCGCCGGGCGCCGCGTCTCCCGGGACCCAAACACCTGGCTCCCGGGGGGAGCTGCGCCCTGCGCTGGCAACGGGAGCGGCACAGCCGGTGATTGGCACGTCCCACCCCCTGGCATGGCAGCCGGGGGGAGGGAGGGAGGGAGTGAGCAGGGGAGGAGGAGGAGGGAGCCGGGAGCTTCAGGCGGCATCTGGGGGTGGGCCGGTTGGCAGGCGTCCCCCTCGCCCCCCCAGGCACCCACCTGGAGCCCTGAGAGGGCGGAGGCAGAGGGCAGGGAAGGCGAGGCCGGGAAGAAGTCCCGGACGGACGGCAAGGAAGGCGGATTCCGGAGACAAACACCCACACCCAGCGCACACAGACGCGCAGCACCGCGCC